TACCTCTCTAAAAACTACGTTTGTTTTTCCGTGCGTCTATTTCGAGAAAGTAAAAATAAATAAATATATAAATAAAGAAATACTCTTCCACGCACTGTAGATGAGGTTTTACCCAAATATAGACCATTACAGAAGCCGAAAGCCTACCCGTCCGAGTGCAGTTGTAATGTTAACATAATATAAACATTAGAAAACATATGTGATATGATCGATGATTAATCAAAGTGGTTGCAGTATTCTGAGCGAATAAATAAAGAGGACGAACAACTTCTCGTATTCAGCTAGCTATATTTTCTTAATTAAAGTCAAAATATCCAAGCACTTTTTTTTTATTCAATAAAACTCTACAATTTTATTGCCAATAATATTATCCTTATTATATGATTTTCTACAAATAATTATAAAGATATGTGAACTTCATCCTAGATGGTTATTTTTATTTGTAACGATTATGTTAATGTTTACTACTCAGAGGCACGGGGCAAATACATTAAGACAACGAAATTGTAGATGTCATGACTACAATGTACAAGTGACAACTGATTCTTTCCTGTGTTCAGAAATTTTTTTGTGTTTTTATTAAGACAACCTTGTTATTTACGTATTTAGAGCATTTGTAAGAACTCAGCTTTCCACGATAAGCAATGACCTTAAACAGTTTATTTGAATTCTGAGGGGAGTGTCAGTGTCGAATGGAAAATAATGCTTCTAGGAATTATTTTGAACTTGAGAAAATCGAATTTGAAAAACTTATGTAAATTGCGAACTTGCACCATCATTGAAATTTACTGAATTATATACATAAGTTCACATTCCTTCAATTACAAATGTTCATAAATAAACGTGTGTCAATACTCTATTACGTATAACGGTAGTATTACTTTTTTACATACTCCATGCTGATGCTATTTGCTTCTGAAGGCAGACCTACCGGTTAGAATGAAATTGTGAATGTTTTAACAATATATTTACATTTTTGGATATGTGTGAATACTGGGGAGCCGGAAGTCTTAATGTCTTTATATGTATATAACAATTTCTGCGAAACTACTGATTTCTTTCTTCTTTTAGGCTGTAGCCTGTCTTTTTAAACAAAATAAATATATTTTAAAAACAACTAACATTCCCTGTAAGCACTTTTATAAGTTCACATTCTTCGTTGTTCGGGCTGACATAAATTCACAAAGTTTCTTTCCATCGTGTTCCATTCCATTTTCTTATGTATTTAATTTGAATTATTTTTCACAATTTTATATTTGAAGAATTGGCTTCCTAAGAAGGTTCCCAGGGAAGCGAGTGTCATGATTCGTGCTTACAACACGCTCTGCCCCTTTCGCTTTTAAACGCGTGCATAAAGGAGGCAATTTTCAGGGGGAGGTATTTCTGGAAGCCTAATGCTGCCTCTTTCTCGCTCCCAACTTCAAGATTGGTCGGTAGCCGACTCGTGTAGTATTTTTAAAATGTATGCGGTATTTGTTAAACAAAGGAAACTTAGAGTATTTAGAATAAAATGAAAAATTAGAGCTGAAAACCAGCAATATCTAACTAACAACAATGTTGCTAGTCATGCCATGCTACCTATCTATCTAGCAATAGCGTTGCTAGTCATGCCATGCAACCTATCTAACTAGCAACAATGTTGCTAGCCATGTTGGTAGTATGGCAATGTATATGCTAGCGTTGTGGCCGCATGTCCGCTCCACCCCCGCCAGGAACTTCACACGTATTTGGCGGGGCAACGAAACGAAACAGCTGTTTGCAAATCGGCTTGAAGAAAATATTTGCGTGGGAACTGCGTAAGGATTGACTTCCTAAAATATAGTAGTCATGAGATGCTAATTTCTTATAAACAATTACGTACCTCGAAAACGAAAGACGATAGCGCCGATCGGATTGCGGAATTCTACGTCTCGTTTAAAGCCATTTTAGAAAAGGTGATCATTTTTCGCCAAATTTACAAACAATTTCCAATTTTTAAATTCTAAAGTGTGAAGGGGTTCTTGATGTTCCAGAACAGAGAACTGCGAATTAATAATTTTGCAACAATTAACAATTTTTTAAACAATTTCGAAATCGATGCAATTCCTGCCGGGCGATGTCCCCAAATAGTATTTGAGCTGAATACAGCAAAATAATTTTTACAAGAGATGCAAATTTTTACAAGAGATGCCTACTTTATTTCTTGCTACATGGACTTGATCTTTGAATTAAGATGTTTTTGCTTTAAATGATTCCCTAGAAGTCATCTATCCATTCAAAAAATACACGATTTTGCAATTTTTGCAAATTTTATGAACATACGAACAATTGCAAACTTGGAAATATAAGTTTTCTTATCAATAAATCTTTATTAAACTGGATATTTCATAAAGGTCCAGGATTATTTATAAACAATAATATTGAAAATAAACGTGTAAGAGAATAAATGCTCTAAAATTAGTGTTATTTTCTCTCGTATGAACGTAATTTCTTGAAAATGAATTATGTTAACCGTGGTTAAACGTATATATTCTTATATACGAAGGGCATTCAAAAAGTTCCCGATAGTTCCCGACTAGCGATAAGACAGCATTCACATTCTTCTGGTAGGTGGCTAGGAATGTTCGCAAGCGGGCAAAAGTGGTGTGGACATGTTTCGTTTGCAAACTGGGAAAATCATCTTCAGAGGCGCTATCGGTTCTACCGTGGCCTGGAGAATCTGTTACTGAAAATTTCTATGGGCAAGTTTTTCAGAGTTTGCAGGTCGGGTGAGGGAGTGACAGGTCGAGTGGCAAGGTAAAGTGGTGCCAGCATCACGGTAACGCGCCCAGCCACATATCGCTTGTTGTCCAGAAATTCCTCGCCGAGAAGCTTTCCTGTCTTCTCTCAACCACCGTACTCTTTGGATCTCGCTCCCAGAGACTATTGGCTGTTTCATAACCTGAAAACGAGCCTAAAAGTGAACAATTTTGTAACCGTGGAGGACATGAAATTGAGTGCGACGACTCAGCTCCGACAAGTGCTGAAAGAACTCTTCTACCGCTCCTAGCAACAACGGCAAGAATGGTGGAGCAAGTGTATGGGTACGCAAGGATCCTACTTCGAAGGTGATTAAGTTACTATTAATAATAATATTTATTGAGTCACATATACAATTACAATCGTGAATGACGAGTCAATATGATGTCTTGGGTGGAGAGAGCGTAGTTCCATTACTGTTCAGGAGCAAACAAGGGGCCATCTCAGCATTTGCTCAAGGGACCAGGGAAACTGAACAAAACCTGATCAAGATGGGGTCATTGGCCTAGAAATTATACTACAATACTTGTTACAGATAGATTAGGATATTATACAGTAGATAATTATTTTTAGTAATAGATAATTTAACACTTCAAGATGTTGTTTTAATGCTACTACTTATTATTATTATAACAATAATTACATTAATAATAATAACAATAATATTAATAATATTAGAACAATACATTACAATTCTGTTAGTAACTACATAAAAGTTAACAATATTAGTACATTCTATATTTAAAACTTGAATTGGGGAGGAGGCAAGTTTTGACCAGTTTTTTTTTTTTTTTCTTTCTTTCAAATTTGTACACGTAGTTTCTACTCCTCTGCAGCACCTAAATGTGTCTAGCAAATCCAGTGGAGAAACTGAATTGCTTTTTGTCAGGGCGCATTTCTCTCCCTTTCTACTTCCTACAAGGATGCGATATGGGCCACGTTTCTTCTTTTTCTTTTGCTTTCAGCTCGAAATAGCTTCACTCCATGAACCAGTAAAGTCTAATGGGTATAATAAGAAAAAAATTTTCCTTATTAATTTTATATTTTTTTAATGGGATGTTTAATATTGATAATATTCCTTTACACCTGTAGAATATGTTGTTTCTTTTCTCAAGTTTTTTTTTAGTTGAATATGCTTTTTTTCTCTCTAATTTATTCTTTTATATGTAAATTATTATTCGTTTTACTTTGCCTTAATTTTCATTGCCTTTTACGCTTTTGTTGTATCCTAGTGTTATTCATTGCCCTTTCTATTTTTCAGGCCTTGTACTCTTTTTTGATTTATTAATGTTTGTTAGTTTCTTAGAGTTGGGAACATTGTAGGTTATCTCTTCCTTTTTTTGATCAGGTATTTGTAGTTTGTGTTTCTCATGTTCAGAATTTTAATATGTTAATAAGTTGTCTTTTGTTTTTCTCCATGAGATATTTTTCTTTTGTGTAAGACCTCTCCTGATTTTTCTAAAGATATTATTACATTGTCATGGTTAAGTTAGATTGAGTCCTTTCGTTTATTTTAAACTCAATGTTGGTTTTTGCCTAGTATTCTCTCTTATGCTTTATGAGGTGCTTTGGTTCATTTTTGTTTCGCAATAATTTCTTTTTTGTATTATATTTATTGTAGTCGGTTTTGCTTTCTTAGTGGGAATTTTCTCTCTCTCATGAATCTTTATTTCTCCTAGCATATTTAAGTTGTGAATTGTCACATTTGTTCATTAATAATACTTCTATTTGTTTTTCCGATTTAAGTTGTTTCATATTTGTTGTTGAGCTTTTGACTTTCTGTTAGGGTTGTTATCGTTGTGCATTAGCTTAAGTTATTTTTTACTGAGGCTTTCTTGTTCTCATTGTATTTGAGTATGTGAGTTTCATTCCATTTTTCAGGTTTTTTTTGTTAAATTGGTTTATTTCTTGTAGGATATGGTTAGTTTTCATTTGAGATATCTGTTTACATTTTGGGGTTTATTTGTTTTATTGAGTGTTCATATTTGCTTGTGAGAGTTTTTTTCTTTTTAGATCGTGTTTGGATTCTCTTTATTTTTGATCATATTTAGAGATGGTTATTTCTTTGTCTTCTTTGGTGTTTATGTATTGAGTTTTTTGGTTTTGCTTCTTTGAATATCCTATTTTTTTTATCTCTATTGTTGCTTTGTCATATTAGTTTTTGTGAGTTTATTTTCTATATGATTTTGTTGGTTTTGCTCTTTTGTATTTATGTTTTGTTGTTCCAGTTCTTGCAATATCAATAATTTATTTTGTTTGTTTTCCTTATATAGCTTTAATATGCTTTATGTCCTATTTAATGTTTATTTTTATTAGTTTTTGAATTAATATTTGTGGTCCCAATGTGATTGTGATTCTTGCGTGGATCTTTCCACATTTTTATTATTTGTGGTCAATGGTAGTATGTGTATTGATGGAGATTTTTTGTTTTTTTTCTTTCGTGTGTGCTGGAAGTGTGTCAAGTCTATTTTTGGTCTATTGGTTTGATAATATATGATTTTTTGATTTCCTATTTGTGCCTGCTATTATTGGCTTCCTTTCATAATCTCTTCTATGCATCTATGTTTTTCTTGTTATAATTTAGTATGTTTTGATTTTGGTCAATTGATGTTCAATTCTTTATGTTTGGCTTTTTGACTCAATATTCTTTAAGTTAAGAATATGTGTTCAATGTTGGAATTTCTCTCCTTCTGATTTATGTGCAACTAATGTTTTATGTTTTTCATTTTTAATTATTTTAAGGATGTAAGTTATGGCTTGTTGTCTTGTGGAATCTATTACTTCCTTGAATGTCATTCGTTTGTGCTCTTTTGTAGGACATTATTGTTGCATTTGTTACTAAATCTCCTATTTGAGTCTATGCATTTGTAATAATTGTCTCTTTTCTCCCAGACTATTTTTTGAATTCCTGATTTATACTAGGAGATTAGGTCTCTGCTAGTTCAATTTTTGTTCATGCTATTTATCACTTATTCCGCTTTCTTTTTAATATTTAATTTGGTTTTTATTATTTTTTGCCTGTTTGATTATATTCTGGTAAATTTATTTATTTCTGTTATTTTTATGATGAGTCATATTGCTCAGTTTATCTGTGAGAGTTGTTGCCCTTTGCACTTGTTACTGTGAGCTATTCTGTGTTTTATATCCTAAGTTAAAACTTCTGGTTAATGTTTGTTCTTCATTTGTCTGCTGATGGATTATTTTTTAATTTCTTTCCATTTTTGTCCAAATGTTTATTTAATAAATTTTAAGAGAGTGGTTTGGTTTTCATTATTATTTAATTAATTATGTGTATAATTTTTTACATATTTTTGTGTAATATTTTAGTTGTTTGGTTGGTGTGTTTTTATTTTGTTTTAGTAGATTGTGCTTGAGAGTATTTTAATTTATTTACTTGTAATTTTGTTGTAAATATGTGTTTTCATTTTGAATTATTTTATCTCAGCTTTATTTTCTTGTTGGGTTGTGTTTTGTTTTCTATTGTTTTTGTCATTTTTTTGTTAGTGGAGCTCTAAATTTTTTCTGTTATTAGTTGGTTCTGTAGTCTTTTTAATTATGTCCCACATAGATTTTGTTTTATTACGTGCTTTTGCAATGTATTTATCATTTGTCATAATTTTTGCTTGTTTGATTACTTTTTTTAGGATCGAATTATATGTTTTGTAATATGAAATGCAGTTTGAGTTACATTTGTTATTTGTTAGTATTTTATACATGTTGCGTTTTCTTTCACATAACACTTTGATGCCTGTGGTAATCCATGATTTAGTTTACTTATTTTGAATCTTTGAATTGTTTTTGAGGAAAAATGGCATTGAAATATCTTAAGTTTAATTCATTCATAAATAATACTTATCATTGGTATCATAATGCCATAGGTTTTAACATTAATATGCTGAATCACCATTTCGAGAACTTTTTGAATGTTCCTCGAATATTTCAATGTATTTACTATCATGTTCATAAAAGATTTATTCTATGTATTTTTATTTGGGAATACTTCCACAGCTGAACTAGCGATGTCTGCCATTTTTTACAACGTAATTTTGCTAGGCCACTTCTCCCTCCTTTCAGATTGGCTACAGCCGTTTCTCAGGCTCCGTCATGACAAGAGCTGCACAAACCATGGAAAATCTTAACGTAGCCGGATATGGCGCGGTTAATTTGTTGCCAGAGCTGTATAAATAAATAGACAAAAATTTAAAGCCTATAGTAAAAAAATAGTACACAATGTTGGTTCATTGTCAAGCTAATGCCTAACACAATATCAAATGTTCAATTACTTTTATATACAAATAAAATAAAGATAAACATTTCAATATTTATTTATAATCTTAACAAATGTATTTTTTAATAACATTAAACATAGTCTCTTGTCAAAATAGCCTACTACAATTTCAAATGTAAAACTGCAATTATAAAAAATAGATTTTGAAAATAGGAGCAAATATTCAAAATAAGTTGTACATTGCAACAATGGGTTTTGAAACAAAGATACACCAAATTATACAAATTCTGAATTTAACCATTTTACAAATCTTATAGTCTTAATTTTCTGAATGTGGATCATGCAGAATAATTCCGATTTTAATCCTCAATTTACTTACAAACAAAATGAAATTAGTATAATATTTTCATTAATACTGCAATAATATATTTATAGAAAATGCACTTGCAGGAATGATCTTTTCAAAGATTTTTCTGAAGAACATATCTTGTGCTAAAGTATACAGATTGAAATATTTCATCTGCATTAATACTTCACCAACATTGGATATTATAGTGATACAGTTTTGCTGACATTTTGCTTACAAACTCTTCAGTTATGAAATACAAGTTTTTTAGAGATCTTATTTTCCAAAAAGCTAGCAAATCAGCATCACCTATGGTGATAAGTAACATTGTGTTCTGTTCTTCACCAGAAAGAAAGCTTAATTTTCTTGATATTCACAAGTCTAGTTTCATTCATTGAAATGGAATCAGAGAAATGATGGCCCTGTATTTACACCCTTTGGAGTCGTTGCCTGCTCCTTAAGAGACTTGGTAGTCGACCTAGCCTTGCCTAGTCCAGTCAATGACTTCTTCCATAATTAAAAATTCATAAAAAGTATGTTTTAGAAGTACCAGACAACGTGTGAGAAAAATTTTCAAAGGATATTTTGTTTATCATCTTGTCATGAACCCATTGGCGGCAAGTCAATAGAATTGCTCTATTATTTGCTCTCCATATTTGTCTTCTCTTCTTTCTTATCTCTCCTTTTCTTCTCCTTTATATTCAGGTTCTCCTTTTATATTTTTGGCATTGATATTTAAGTATTGTTGTAAACTTATAATCTAGCAAATAATCCAATACTATGCAAAAGAAAATTGCACATAAGTACTCTCAAATATTAAAATAGCAGGTTCAAAGTTTGCTTCGGTACATATCTTCCCAGAACTTCATGCGCTTTAATTCTGGAAATTCTTTTAATGTTATTTCTTTGTCGATGTTTAGGCATCGGAAATTCCTTATGGAACAGGGTTGCCAGTAAACAGGAATACTTTCATTAAGAGTTGGTGTAGGATTCCTATAATTAAAAACATAAATACCATTACACATATGTTCTAATATGGAATTTAATAACATAAACTTAACTTCTGTTGTAATGCCTATCTACTCATTGTAATTCAAATTCAATTCAAGAACATTTTTCAATGTCTTGAAATGATAGTGGTCTACTTTGTCTCGTATGCATTACTTTTTTTGTATTGGTAAAAATAACAAGAAATACTTACCCAAACTTTGCAAAATTGGTCCAGAGCAAAACCATTCGATTTATCGTATTCATTTCTAGAGATGAAGGATCTATGTCTATATTTACTAGAGGAATTCGAAATAGGTATCCTAAATCATCACCATGGCAAGCACCTAAAAATCATTTTAAAATTTGTTTTTTACTTGAAATTAAAAATTTAAAACTTACATTATAAAATTAAACCACTTTAAAAAAAGAGCTACAAAAATTAAATTCAAAATTATTAGCCTTTGTCAAGTTTTTCAAAATATATTTGAAGGACTCTTGTGTAAAAGAATGGAAAATTTTCTTCGAAGACACAAAATGTTTTCAGACAATATTGACATAGAAATCAAAATCTAAAACAAAGAAAATGTAGTTGTTTATGGAGATGTGGCTCCCTCAATACATCAAAATGAAATACGTCTTATTCTCATTGTCCATCTGTCACTCCGTGAGGTCAGCCCATCCGCCCATCTCTCTCTGTCCGTCTGTGGTCAACACAAGTGTCTAAACCATTCAGCCGGTTTTCCCGAAATTGATATACCGCAATTGATCTGGCTGAAGTCGCAACCCCGTGAACCCTTGAATTTAAAACTAATATTTTAATTCTTTTGGAGAGACTCTGCATGAAACGCCTGGAACATTTTCAAAAAAAGCACTTTTTGGTTTTGGGCCTCTTTCTACAACCAAAATATTGAAGATGGAGATTTTTTTCCTTAATGAAAAATGTTCTTAAAATATAGATTTTGAAAGGTCACGTAAAACTTTTCAAAAATTTGAGTAGTTTTCTTGTAATTTGCAAAAAGTATAGGCATTTAAAGTTTATTAAAACCTTTATTTTTTTTTCTTTTTTTTTTTAACAAAAAGCTACCAATTTTTTTCTTTAAATTTCAATCGTGTATGTATCAAAGACCGGTAGAAAACAGGTGCTAGTCCCAGTTTTGAAAATTGCATTAAACAAATATATCAAACAACAAAATTGAAGATACGGATTTTTGTCGTGAAAAATTCACTCTTGTCATGTACTTTTTTTTTTAAACAAGTAGTTTTGCATAATAATTGCTTAAAATTTATCAAATTTTTAAAGAAAATATTTTCTCTAAAAACTTTTCATTTATTTCCTCAAAATATTTCTACAGATAGAACACGGAACGCTAAAAGAATGGCCAGGTCTAATTTTCGGTGAACCCTTCGTGTTTTTGAAAATTGTTAAATCTTAACTGTCGGAAAATACAAAATAGACGATAGAGATTTTTGTTGTAAACAAAAACTGTTCTAAAAATTCAGCCCATTAAAAATGGTCATGTACATTTTTTTAACTAGTAGTTTTCGCGAAATTTCTGCTTGAAATTAATGAAATATGTGTCCCACCAAATACGGGCCACGAAAAAAATCCTTGGAGAACAAGAATGGATCAAAAGGATTTGAAACAAGTGTAGTTACAACACTTCTATTACCATTTTAAAAGTTCTTAAACAAACGAAGCATGAAAAATACATATATTTTTATAATTCAAACGTTTAAACAAAAACAGCTTTCTGCCATTCATTGACAGAAAGCTGCTTTCGTTTAAACATTCAACGTTCACAAACATTCGTTTAAACGTTCGTGTCTTCCATGTATCCATGTACTACTTAACGGTACCAACAATGTTCGATACGTATTTTGGCTGTAAACAAAATTATTAGTTTATTTTAATGCAAATAAACTGCCCCCATCATTATCGCCTTCTGTTATCAGTGAGATATTACAATAATGTGTTGCAACACGCGACACTAATGGCCACTAATTTGTATAGTATTCAGTTTGCAAATTAGCATTGTTGATACCCCTGGCAAGAAAATGAAAATGGATGCAAAAATGTCATAATTAAATATAATATTATTATGCTTATTAGAACTAATCAGTTTTTACGGGTATTACTTGTCCTTCTTACATTTTATTATGCAAAGCGAAATCATCAATTCGTTTTCTCATTTAATTCAATTAAAGATCGCAATTTATAATAGGTTTTAAATAAATTATAAAATATTAATTTCTAAACATATAACAAAAGCTTGAATGTAAAAATAACAATGAACTATAAAATAATATGCAAATTCTAACTTGCTGGAATTACTTATATTACAAAAAAGAATTGCAGTCAAATGGGAGCGGGCTATTATCTCTGTCACAAAATTACATAAAAAATACGCATATTTAAAAAACAAAACAAAAAAAAACACCTTGTTTGAAGATCTGTTTTTATGAACACACAGCATTAAGAAATAAATTGTATCTTCACAATTGTAAATGTTGGAAGCCACCGAACATTTCTGAATTGTTTGCAAAATCAAGCATTTCAAAGAACACCATTCTCTTAAGTGTCCTTTATGATATCTAAGATCAGAAATTAATAAAAAAATGTTATGCAGTTTTTAAGAAAAATGGTTTAAAAAAAATAAATATTATCTATGTTCGACACAAAATTTCGCAAAAGATCTCATGTTTTGAAAAATGGAACATGACTTTTTGAAAATTTGTTTTTGATGAACAGATTTCATTAAGAAAAAATTGTATTTCCAAATTGTAGTTGTAGGAAAACTTTTAACAAATTTTGATTCTTTTTCAATTTTCGAAAAATCAGGATTTTAAACCATCATGTGACCTGCACTAATTTCATAAAAGTCCTTCAGACAATCTAACAAAATTTTATATTAAATACAAATCCTATGTCATTTACTGATTGGAAATCGGACCACTTGTTCAGACGTTATTAGGGAAGTAATTTTGGCTTATTTTGGTGCTGCTAAGTGGTGGCGACAAGTTGAACTAGTGTTGGTACATTTAGCCTTAACATTACTGTTACAATATCTCTACATTTAATAACTAGGTAAAATTATTCCACTTTATTAAAGTCAGTAAGAAAATATGCATAAAGCAATGATATTGTTTTGAATGCATTCATTATGTAATATATTGAATGGCTTTAAGTTGTAGATGTCTAATTTATAAGTAAAATTATTCTTGCATGTCTGTATAATGTGCTGCAAATAATGCAAGTAGTTACAAATGTGAGGAAGTAAATGTTGTTATAACACCACAAGTTTTAATTTCTTTGCTTAAGTATTTACGAATTTCAATCAAAGGATCTTCTAATACAGAATTACGATTGTAATTAAAATTTAATTGTTAATTTAGATCTGCTTACTAGTATGATTTCCAGATGTCATTAATCAATTAAAATCAAGTTTTCACGTCAAATACAATATTTTTTGCTGCATTACTGTTTCTACGTAGGGGACTATATTGATCATCAAAAACAAACATTACATTTATTTTTTTAAAGATTTAGTGTTGTGTTTAGTTTTGTGCTGTATAATTATAAAAGTCAAATATGCCTGTAACAAGTACTGTACAGGCATTTGAAAATCTCTCTTCTTGCTTATGGGAGGAGAAGTTTTGGAGAGTAATATTTTGTTAGCAGTACAGTACTAAAAAGTTAAATCTAAAATTTCGTTTGCTAATGCAAATATTTTCTATTACACATTACAAGAGCAAACATTTTTAGTTTTCAAATGTAGCAACCATCTTTCTTGGAACCTTTATTCATAATGTAACCATGGTATTTATAGAAAAAGAGAAGGGTAAGACATGTGGAGCTCAAGAAAATATGTGTAGATTGATTATACTTCTTCCCAATGAATCACACAGTTTTTACTGTTTTTGGAGATAAAATAAAATTAGATCAGAATTAATAGTTTTGTTGCACGTAATTTTAGACTTCTAGTATTAAAAAAAATCTGAAAAGCAACTTACCTTCCATTTCTACTCCCACAAATTGCTTACCAAACCCCAATGATCCATCAAAATTAAACTTGTACAAGTATACAGGGGCAATTGATACAGCAATGGTTAATTTCACTGTGGCATACACACCTTCCACAAAATGAAGATCTGACTGAAACTTAATAATAAGAAATTTTACAACTATGTGCAGCAAAATTTTCTACAAATATATTTATAAACTAAAAAACATTAATAATAAAAAGGTTAGTTCTGCATGATCTGTTCCTTCCACCCCAACCTATCATTAATCTGCTTACATGTTTCTGATTTCTCACCTTTTTTGTGATACTATGCTACCTGCCATACAAAAGAAATGAGACTATGCTAAAAACTTTGTGAAATGATTTTTTGCAACAGTTGGTGGTAGTGAATAGAGTAAACTGTTCACTACCACCAGATAATTAATAATTAGTTTTTGAAAGCTGAGAACTGAACTATTAAAGAATACCATTTCAGAATATTGACATGATCGCAGTCAGAGACCGTATTTGAACTTTGTGAACTGGGATGTTGAAGAACCAAGCAATACCACTGCAAATATTTTACAAACTTCAAATAAAATATATAGCAGATGATACTTACATCAGTGAACTGTGATAAATTGTTTTTTGATATTGGTTTATCATTGAAATAAAAATGTTTTATTCCAGATGCTACAGTTGATAATGGCACAGAACTGCTTTCATGACTCAGAGACTCAGGTAATTGTGCACCAAATTTAGAGTTGTAATCTTGCAAATGCTTATCTTGAAGATCTAAGAATGATTTAATTACATAAGGGCATACACAAATTGAATACATTCTCTAATTATGCGATTATCACTGTTCAGTACAGGAAGAGAAACTTTTTATGCTCTGGAACATTATAAAACATTAGAAATTTAAAAATATTTTAATATGCTATTTAAATAAAAAATTAAATTATGTATCTAAATTAAGAAATTTAAATTATGATAATGTTTAGACTCTTTCTTATGAGCTAATAAATTGGGAAATATTTTTGGATTTTCAAATCTATTATTCAAATTTGATCATAGTGACTAAAATAAAATCAAAATATTTATGAATATTGATTGACATTTTTAAAATGATTATCGTTAATTCCAATCAGGGAAAAAAATTGTTTGTTAAGAATGTGTGTGCCCTATGTTAGTATAGACTACTTCAGGGCTACAAGAGAGAGAATAAGAGAAATGTACTTTTCCCCTGTACTCTGTTTTTACTGTACTGTGGGGAAAGATAGATCAAATCAAGTCAAATCAAATGTAATAATCTAATCTGAAAATTTAGTTAGGTGAGCTCATCTGACTTGACTAGAGTATATTAGTAATGTAATAAGTTATGTTACAAGGGACTAAAACAGGATTTAAGTGAGGAGCAAACATGTTTAGACTCCAATACCACAATAAGAGTCAAAGGAACAAATTTTCTTGAGTGAATAAAAGCTATTTTACACCTGAATACATATACTTTGCACATACCACTAAGTAAATAAAGTGAGAAAGTTTAAATGAAGGATCTAAATATTATATGTACTCTCAAACTATGCTTGGCTTCAGAAGGTAACATACATATCCAATATGGGTCTGTGCAGTACATATGTGTAATAGAATGCAAGGATGAGATGAGTGGCCACATCCGAGTCGAGGTTCAAAAGCAGTTGAGAAATATACTGATTTTTCATTGCTTTAATGAAATTGTTGCAAAATAGTAGTTAACATGTTTGCCCACTTTAATGAGTTATTATTGTATTAAAAGTGTAATCAACATTTTATAATTTTCTATAAAATCAAGAAGTGACCTGAAATACCAAATTTCAAAACCTAAGAATGATATAATAGCTATAATGGATAAAAAAAATTATAAAACTTCATTATATAATGAATATTTTTGAGTCTACTTATCCTTTTTCTTGATGTTTTTGCTCAAGGATTTCAATACAATAAATAGTTTCCAATTATGTTGCATGTGTCTTCATTCTCTAATTGATCAGGAGATAAATTATCCTGAATTTAGAAGTTCAGTGTTATCCTTTTTAAATGTTAAAAAATATAATTGTACTTACCTTTCAAAGTAACCATTCCCTCATGTGAAGTGACACCAATCATCAGAGGTACTTTGTGAAAACGTCGACTTCTTAAAACAGCCATTGGATGTTCCGTCAAAAAAGCATCCGTTGATTTAGGTTCTATGGTTGGCACAAATGGAAATTGAAGGGTCCTGATACATTCCTGCACAAAAATGAATAAAATACATAAAAATTTTCTATTATTTATTATAGAACACACAATCTTACTGAAGGTAGCCTTACAATATGTTTCATTATAAAATTAAAAATAATGAATTCTTTGTCAAATTAAATGTTATGTATATTTTTATTTTCACTCACTGAGGAAGGAAATAAATTTCTTGAAACTCTGATCAAATTTAAGGCATCTTCCTTCATTAAAAATTTCAATAACACATTAGGATCTGCAGTTTTGCAGCCCAAAGCTTCTCCCAATTTAAAAGCTCGTTCTTTATTTGTGAGTGAAAATGCCCAAGGATTAAGGGCACATCCACTCTGAGCAATAACTTTATGAAACAATCCTGTAAAAATATATTTTAATTATTATTAGGACAGAAGGCACACTTGGAATAAAATTCACAATAAAGCAAATAAAACTTGGGTAAATACAAAATAAAATTAAATGTCTCACAAAACACAACCCGGGAACGGTAGATGAGCGGCGCACTGGAGGACCGAAGAGATAGCTGAGGAGAAACAGCATCAGTCTCCCACCCAAGGGCCTACAGAGCGGGATTTAAATCTGAAGCCACGTTGCTATCCGCCTATCACAAGGACGCGAAGACAGGGCCGGATTTAAGTAGTGCGGGGCCCCAAGCACAAAATTGTGTTGCCTCCCCCCCACCCCCCTCCGAAAAAATAGCTCCATCTTTATTAAATAAAAAATGTATTATAGTACAAGTACTTTCTGTACAGATACAAATGAAAACTGATACTTTTTTTATAGAAATTTTTACTTGTGTTACATTTTTTTACATTAAATACATTTTACATAATTTTTTTTTCTGCTCTTCACTGCAAATTTTGAGGTTTACATAAAAAAATTTACATATTCAGGTATAAGTAAAGGAAATAAAGTATAGTTAATATTAGACTAATTTAACATGTAATAAATATTTTTAAAAAAATGTTTTGAAATTGTACATTTTGTTAAGTACACAGTAGACTACTTGATTAACAATTATTTCACAGACATATGGTATGCGTATTTTTCCGAAACGCGTGGCCCCTGGTGAATGGGGGCCCCCAAGCAACTGCTTGTTTTGCTTGTAGGTAAATCTGGCCCTGCGCGAAGAGGATGTTAAGAGATCGACCAGAGCACTGGAAGGCCCATTTTGGTGAAGTAGACAGAGGTGCAAGAGGACAAGACTGCAGGGTAGTGACCCCCAAACTAAGGAAGCGGACATGGGAGGAAAACCTGCATGTCGATTCCATGCGCGTTATGGTGGACGCATTGTTGCCCAGACAATCAATCAAGTCTTGTTTCACGTGGTGTTACGAGCAGTGCCGTAACGAAATGACAGCGGGTCCGAACGCCCTTTATAAAAGTGCACAGCTAACACAAGAAGTGTTTCTACCTTAAATAATAAAAATATCCCCTAAAAACGGGCCCCCTTTTACCCAGGCCTTGCGGGCCCGAACGTTACGACCACGGTACGCCACTGGTTACGAGCTCTTCAGTCTGACCACGCAAATTTCGCCACGCTTTTTTCATCATCTAGAGAACAAATACAGTATCACTCGACAAAACAGGTGATTTAAATTGAGCTCAGGCGTTTCGTTTAATTGAATATTTTACAAGCAGTAATTCTATAGTATGGGACAGCCGGCTTTACCCTCGGCGAAGAAAGGCATACGAAGGATTTCCCCCCTTAAAAAACACAGCTACGATTGGGTTTGAAACCGCAAACTGGGGTATAACAGCAGCAGAAGCAGCAATGAATGGTAGTTGGTGACGTTCGCCTGACCCTGTGAAGGCTCTCTTCGAACAGGTTTGTCTTGTTATTGTTATTGTTCTTATTTTTCAGTTTTTTTTACTCCTCTTCCCCGTACGGAAATGGGGATCGGGAGTCTGGGTTGATGGGTTATTTCATTGCGGGAGATCGTTATTTCGTTAAGGGTTTTTGGGCGCCGGGGGGGGGGGATTTGATGAAGATGGGACCGGAAGAGATGGCTCAGGGCATCACTGCAGTCCCTCTGATCGGGAGGTTCTAGTTTCAAATCGGTTCGAATCCCGACGGGGTTAGGATTTTCGACACTAGCTTGTCAGCTAGATCAAATTCAGTCGCTGTCTGGATGAGAAACGGCGCCAGCCTGAAAAACCTGAATACCTAAACCCAAATATAAATCTGAAACCAACGGCGCGGGAATGCCAGAATCTTCTATTGGCCATGTACACCGCTTGACTAAGAGAGCGAATTTTCCCTAAACGATGAAAGAAACAGCGAAAACTTATTCTGAACAAGGGTAAGGGCGCAGTGCATCTACCGTTGTCCTAAAGGCCCCCTCGTTTGCTCGACACGGCCAGGAAGCTATTCGAGAAGTTACAGAAAGTCGAGTTTGCTAATTGGCAGTTGGAGATGTATTCGACAGGCAATTTGGATCCAGGGCGACGGCAAATGCAGTTATGGTTGAATTGGAACAGTTGAACTCACAGCAAGAGTACCACCACTCCTGCTAATAGTGCACGGACATCCTACTAGTCTTGGGGAAAACCTCAAGAGAACCACCACTCCCGCAATCTAGTGCATGTTATTAGCCTTAGAGTGAGGAACGTCGACACAGTGGACGGACATCCTGTTGCACCTGGGGAAAACCATGGAGATAACGTCACTTCTTACGAACCCTCATGAATTACTTGAGGAAGAGGGAACTCGTCTTTAACACAGCAGACAGCCCTCGTAACCGAGATGTCATGCCGGGAGTAGCGCAAGGATCGATCCTTGGGCTTGTCTTATGGAATGTAGCTTATGATGATTAGGGAACAGATTTTCATGTTGTTACTTTTTTTGCCGGAACATGATCCCTGCTTTTAATAACATTTTTTACGCTTTACCAGACATTCTGAATGAATTTGAACAATTTTTATTTTACATATTTTTACATTTTTTGTGTAATTACATATTTACCTGTTAACACATATTTCGTTACATTTTAATATATTGATTCGTCGAAACGGAGCATTTTATGTGTGCATTTTTAATATGTTTAATGTTTATGCATTTTTAATGTTTATTTATTTTACATCAAAACAGTTAAAAACTGTGTGACGTGCTTCGGGGAGAAGTGAATTCTGTACACGTTTTCATAATTCGGTGATTCCTACGCTAAGCCACTTACAAGTTGAATTTCGAATACAGAAAGAAATGAGTGTTTTTTGCAACTATTCTATATTCGCTCCGACGTAAATTATTTTCGGGAGTAAATCAGCTATAAATTTGAGCTCTCAGCCCTCATCATATCCTTCGTGAGGGAATAATATTTCATACCTTGATCATTTGAATAACTATATTTTCCACATAATTCCAGAAGCCGTGCACCGCTAATGAAGTTACATGAAGTTTGTGATCAGAAGCAATACAAGGAGCCATCTCAGCATTTACTCAAAGGATCAGGGAAACGACGAAAAACCTGATCGAGATGGGATTCATTGACCTAGAAGCTGCAGCTTGTTGCAGGTTGTTTAAAATTATACAGTCCAAACGGTAAATAATACATTAAATGTCATTGTTAAAATTAATGTTGCTTTATTTCTGATGCTCGAATAATCTCTAATTGTATAGAAACAGTTGTCCAGCAGAAAATATTTTATTTGGGGCTAAAAGCTGGTTATCGAATTTAATGTCATATGGCAAAGTGTTGTAAAATAATGTACCTGTATGTGAATTCTTTGTAGTAAGCTGTTGATACTACCACCTGAAAAATATGATTACTACGTCGAGTGTTCTAGACATCGGCGTTTGCTGACAATATTTTCCCGACTTCAAGCAAGTCATTTTTGATAAAAACCACTTATTCGTAAATCAAGAGATAATGGTAATGTTAAAATTCCTAGATTAATAAAAAAAGGCTTGCAAGAATCACGTGGGTGGGATTTGCTCAAGTCTGGGAACAACAAGATGTATTTCTCAGGAATATTATGCCATATCTCAGGCGGAAATGATCATTCGCAAAATATACACAACGAACAATATGAAGGCTGGTTGAATTTGAAAGAATTCTGAGCAGAACGCGTAGCATAATAAACTAGATTTTGTGTTCAATTCATTTAAATGGACGTTCCATCTGAGGTTTGACTGAATTGAGAGACCTAAAAATTTTGTTACCTTAACATAAATGGCACACCGTTCATTTTTAATGGAGTACAGAATTGTTTATTAGATATGGAAAACTGCATTGAAATAGTTTTCTTTTCATTTACTATTAATTTTTATTATGGAACCAATTTGAAAATCTGATATTGTATCATTTACGGGTTCTACATTGCAAATAATATTCATAACATCTGCAAAGAGAACTGTTCTTCCGTTTCGAATAGTAGAGGACCTATCGTTTACCTATAGTAGGAAGAGAATACGGACTAAAATCGATCCCTATGGGAATCCACGTGCAATTGGCAGAGCCGGAAAGGTGTGTACATAATGTTACATCATTCCAGTAATGTATTTTTACTCTCTGGAATCGTTTTTTAAGATATGAACATAACCAGTCTAGAGCAATATCATGGATTCCATAAGAAGGTAATTTTGAAAGTAAAATGTTATGATCAATAACGTCAAAAGCTTTTGAAAGATCTAAAAATAGGTGCGGAAAAGAACGGAATATTCCAATAGGTATGTAACGGAATCATATTTCCTACAATGCAATGTCACGCTTCTACACTTCTCATACACAGTACTATATGTCTATGGTAATTTCAATGTGCGTGCATATGACTCTGATAAATACTATCTTCTAAAATGAAGAGGCCAAGATATAAGCTAATCTAAAATGTTGTCTACAAATTAAGAATATTAATGTATGATCCCTTGTATTTTGCTCTTCATATTTATAATTTGATCGTTTCAGTTTATATGCTCATGTGCCAGACTGAATTAGCATACAGATAACCAATTAAATTTTACAAATGAAGTTTACGCTACAGCATTATTTTGTTTGATTTTGTGATAACAATAATAATAATAATAATAATAATAATAATAATAATAATAATAATAATAATAATAATAATAATAATAAAGTTGACCCCGTGGCACAGTTGCGGCAGCCGTCGTGTGGGCCGAGGAGGCTCGAGGTTCGAGTCCTGCGTAGACATGGTCGTATTTGTGATTGTCCCTTCACCCCTCATCAACCTATCATCTCATAATTCACACTTCAAGGCGTTACAATCTGAGGGATACAGGTGAAAAAAAGACTTATCCTGGAAAAATTACACACGTTAATTGCGTATCGTAGCGAGTAATGGCTTGTACGCCAATAGTAATTCTGAATAACATTCTGTTTTTGCATAAGACGGCTCACCACATGAATTATTACAATGAAAATTTCATTAATTTTATAACCTTTGAAAGAGTGATTTATTGATGCTTTTAACTATATGATCATATAGGTCACAAATCCATATGTCAATATATAATCACTTTCTCATATCGTCTGATAGACATTCTTCAATACGTAAATATAATTTCTTGATGTTGACGTATACTGCGATTTTCACAATTCTGCCTGGTAGGTACCTGCTGTTGACAGTTTCATCCAACCGAGAGCTTAAACGTACCATAGTGACGTCATTATAGTGATATTCAAGCTCCCGATTGGATGAAACCGTCAACAGCTGATACCTGCCAGGGGCAGAGCTGCGAAATGGGTTTATCGTTTATTTTTATTAAATGAGACTGTGGTCATTTTGGCTTCGCAAACAGTCGCCGAATTCGATCCTCCCCGACAACGATGTATTCTTGTAGTAGTACTTAAGATTTCTGTATTCCAAGTGGAAAAGCCGGCGGCGCTAGCCGTTTTGATTAATTGCGCTCCGTAATTTCACCGGGTTAAAACAATTCGAGATATCGCGGATTTCTGGTGGGCGACCTACTGGAAACTCCGCGGATCTGCCGGCGCTACGGGCTGAACCATGGCCTCCTTCAGGAAGGGAAACCACTCAAGGGAGCCATGGCTCAACCAACGCCTCCTACATTAGCCAACGCGACACAGTTCCTATCTATTTCCATATCGTCACCGGATGAGGAAAGTACATAGTGAGAAATGTGTGTAATTACTGCAATGCACAAGTAGACGATGCCAAACACACTTTCTTTGTATGCAAGAGATAAACAAGCGAGAAAAAGTTGTTATACTTCAATTTATTTGCACTTGACGTAAGTCAGCTGTTATGGCGTCACCTAATCGGAAACTTGAAATGTCACTACAGTGACGTCACTACGACGTTCAATCTCCTACTTGGAGACACCAAAACATCTGATTAAACGTCAAATTATAAATAAATCGAAGTATAGAACAGCGCCCTAAAGCAATAACTACCGACAGCATCATTGAGACGAAGTTCACCAATAAAGAAAATTGATGCGAGGTCCTCGTTGACGCAACGTGTCTCTGAACCCTTGTGGGCGTTGAGCGCTGGTATGGAATAATCCCCTGTTTTTTGTCACATCTCGTCACATCGCAGTGAATCAGAGCCTTTTATCCCTTTAGCCAGGGGCTCGGCGCCTGGTTGCTCGATTAGATGTCCGGGTTTTGAAACTGTAACCCAACCAGGAACCCACTAAGTCTCGAATTCATTTAACCTCCGTTCACGGAGCGTAGTACATGAATTCGGTCAGTGACGGTGGTCATCGTGGCGAGGCCTCCGGTCATCGATAGATGCGGCGATGACCAAGCCAAATAATAAAAAGATTGTTTTAAATATTTTAGACCAGAATTGGATATATTAATAAAAGTGTAATCATATTTAAGCAATATGATGGTTTGTGGTTTTAGTGGATAAAAGTCGCACTATTCACGAATGCGGACCCTCCAGAATTTCATTAAAATTTCCAGGTGCGTTCGGAAAAACTAATATTAACAACAATAATCATAATCATCATTGTCGACGTCAGTCATTATTATTGTCGTTATTGTTGTTGTTGTTGTTGTTGTTGTTGTTGTTGTTGTTAAGGAAAAGCAGACAAGCAACAACAAAAGGTAAATCACAAATTAAGACGTACTCATAACCTACAAAATATTCTGAAGAACATTAAGTTGGCCAGGCACAGCAGTCCTGATTTGTGTAAAGATGAGTAAATAGAAAGAATATCTGAAGGAAATGCATAAATAGACCAAGGTATTTTCCAGGAGCCCCATTTGTTCATCAGCGGCTTAATATTGTAAAGAGCCCTGAGAGTTTTTAAATTATGAGTTTCCTAAAAATATTGAACCAATGTAAGAAACATTAATATGAAAATAAACCTTTTCAAGAATTTCTTGTTCTGTTCATGGGAAATTCTGTCGGTTGAAATATTACAATAAAATAAAATAACAAATATAATTATATTTGAATCAACTAACATAAAATTTTATTTGAAAAATGATTGGGAGATCCCCATTCAGTAGCATGAAGAATATTCTTAGATGTCTAATGCATTAATCCATTCCTGAATCAGTGCCTTTATAAAATGAATCATTTCACAACTGATAAGAAACATACGAAACTGTTAGGCAGAATCACATGAGAAGGTAAACCTCTAATAATCTCTCCACATATTAAAAATAACGTTGATGATATAATTCTCAGTTACGTTTATATTCAACTTCGGCTACGAAACACATTAATTAAAAGTTATAAAATAAAAATTAGAGTGTTGTTTTCATTCATCTTACCAAGATTTTAAAATTCTCATAAAAAGTTTAATGCAGGCTGCCCTATATTACAGAAACATTAATAAAAGGCGTAACATGGATTATAATTTAATACACGTAGAATCACCTTTTGTCAGTGGAGATAGCATCAGATAATGGACAGAAGCTCCTCCGGCACTTTCACCAAATATAGTGACATTATTCGGATCTCCACCAAATGCCGCAATATTTTCTTTTACCCAATGCAGTGCTGCAACTTGATCCTTCAGGCCCATATTTCCTGGTGCTGATTCATTATCTAAACTTAAAAATCCTGAAAATTGTAAAACTACAATCATTCTTGTGAAGCTTATAGTTATGGTCAGATTCAAGGATACAAATCTTTGAATCAACATTTTTTCATTGCAAACACCTATTCCATTTTTTTTAAAAACAAAGATGAATTTAACTTTGAAATAAATATTAAATAAATGTTTTGTTATAAATTTTGTTTGTTCATACAGGCCCATTTACACAACTTTCTTTTTGTTAAAACTACAAAAATTAAAAAAAAAAGGTATAATATAATAATAAACTTAAAAATAATATATTATAATAAACTAATAAATTTCATTAATAAAATATTTATTAAATATCACCACCTTTCTTTGAACTCCATACAAGATACAAGAAGCAAATTTTACAGGAAAGGTGAAAAAACTAATTAAAACTGGCACTATTTTCAGGAAGTCAGAAAAAAACATGTTACAGTGGTTATTGAAAAAAATACGAGGACCCTCCATTCAGATTTCTTGGACATTTTGCACTAAAATTTGTTATATAATTTTAAAAAACAAGGAAAATAGGGTGTGATTTTTAAAGAATGATATTCTTTAATTTTTGAATGTTACAACATGACTTTTAATAAAGACAAATAAAGCTTCTCCATAAAAAGGCACTAATAGTCATGCTCTCCTCTTTTAACAGTTTCTGACTTAGTTAATAGTTTTTCATAATTATTCAAAGAAAAACCTATGTAAAAATGTAATTAATATTTTTTGATGTGCAAAGTAGTGATCCTATTTGGAATTTGTTTATTTGTAACAAGTATGAGCTAATTTTATACAAAAACAATTTGAATTTGTGTACCTAATATACCAACTCGATAGTTTATTGCAACAAGCACAATGTCAGCATCGACTAAGTACTCTGGTCCATACATATCTGGATTTCCAGTTCCATTTGTAAATCCACCTCCATGGATCCATACCATAACAGGCTTTAGAACTGCTCCAGCAGATGGCAACTGAAGTAATGTAAATAAATAGGGATTAATTGCTTTGATATGTTTTACTTCAGAAATCACTTACAAAATCAAATAAATTAAATAATTTGTACATTGATGAATTTCCCATTTGCTTTATCTTTCTCAACATTTCATTTTTCTCTTGAATACAACCAAGTGTAAAGGATTGTAATTCTTCATTAGAAATTACTCCATTCTACACTTTATGCTTCAATACATGTAGTTTTCATCATTTGTTAATATAACAACTGCATATATTTGTTGAAGTTGGATAATTTCCGATATCAGAATGAAATTTATATTATTTTTATACATACTTGAGGTGTGTATACATGGAGATACAAGCAATCCTCTTGCCCTATAATCTCTCCATTCATGACATTTTCTTGGGGGCAGACAGGAGCAGGTTCTAAAGCATCACGAGTTCCAGACCATGGTTCAAGCTTTTGAGGGGGCTGAACAAGTAAAATATTGATTGTGTTCAACAAATGTGACTGAGTAAAAAAAAATTAAAAAGTGCAATTGACAAAAAAATATTTTAATGTTTTAACACTTCATTTCTGAAAATTTTGGAAAAAAATAGAAAAATAAGAGCGTTATGTAGCAGAGCAGCGTATCGCTCCATTAAATTGCCTCCCCCACTCCAGCGTTTCGTAATGTATGGACTACCCTTTGCCCTTTTACCTTGAATCGGAGAACCCCAACAGGTGGTCGAGCGTAGGGCACGCTCAAAAAGCTGAGAAGAGGCTTGCCGGATTTCGAGGTGGTTCTGCGACCCCGCAATTTCCCTTGAGGTGTTTCGAGAGTGACTGTGTCGCCCATTGTTAGATGACAATCAGGTCCTATTTAGTTTTTCGAGTTACTAGATGCTACTGAAGTTCTCTTCTTTTGTCGTGTTGTCAAACCACTGAAAGACAATAATGCACGTCAATGTTACTGTCTTATCACGTGCTTATCAAGGAGTCGTAAATAAATGGATTTTGTTTTGGTCGTTTTATCTATTTTGCACACAAAAATAGATAAAGGGACCAATTCAAATATGTTCTGAAGACTGAAAATCGTTTCAAGGTTCTTTTTATGTCCTCCGTTTTTTTTCTCTCGAGAAAAAAGTGAATATAATCCGCGAATTCGCGCGAGTTCAAACTACCGCTGATGCAGTACGCAAGTTATGAACTGTCTTTTTCTAGTTTTACAGAAAAAATAAAATAATGGTACGGGAGTTAAACAAATTTAGCGAATATAGAAATTACCCTTATATTAACATAAGTCATTTTCAATTTATCGTATTTCGCAATAATACATAAATGTCTTGCAGTAAATTGCATTTACAATTTTGTATTTTAATTTAAAAAGTATTAGCTCTAGCAAAAACTCCAAATGTTAATATCATAATTTGATCGGCGGATATTGTTTTAGGAGCAAGTAGAAACAGGATGGTCGTGATATAATCCTAGTATTCAGTATATTATTTATCGGGTACTGTAACTTTTACTTTTATTTAATCGAAAAAAAATCTACATTCATTCTTTGCCATGGATGGTTTGGATTCGTCGTTTAACGAAAAATTAAAATCGTGTTCTAGTAGTAGAAAATTGTTACAGGTTAATGTCAGGGGAATCTATAGAAAATCATTAATGCTCAAGACGTTATCTATTATATGACAGTCCTTTCGAATTATATTTCTAGGCAAATCTTACGTCAAGTAACAAGTGCGCAAGGTTAGCAAGTGTATGCGAAAGAGGGGGTTTGCTTGCATGTCCCAATTTCCACTGTCACGCATACAAGAAATATAATTGTAAGTATCATATAATGTAATGGCAATATATTATTTCAACAAACTCAACAGCCAATCTTCACTAAAGAACTTTTATCACATTAAAAAAAAATTCTAACCGGAAACCCGAAAGAAACCTCATTCAGCTTACCTCCTATGAAAAGCGATCTTCGTACAGCTTCGAGTATTCCGTGCCGTGACACCGGGAGTTGTCGGTTAGTATCTTGTAAATAACCTTCTGTAAACATGCCGTAGTTGCGAGTCCAAGGACGATCAGACAAGTTCACAGTACAGGACGTCAAAATCCGTCGGCAGGAGAAGGGGTAACCGAGAGCTCATTGGCTGTGTGATATCAGAAGAAAATGTACCTCTAAATCGAAAACATTTAGGCCTACTCTTCAAGAAAACAAAACAATTTTTTGTCGACTTTTTAGGCGTTTTTGCTGACATTTTTCGGAAAATTTACCAGTGCAATTGTGTGGAAATTCTGTCTTAACATACACATGTTGTTACATACAAATTTTTTTTCTATGTGAATAGTGTATTTTTTCTTTCAGTTTTATCCACAATGATTGGCTAAATTTTGTTAATTGCATAATGAGTAATTATCAATCAGTAATTAGAGCTACCACAAGCTGAAAATATTTGTTTTTTTACTATCAGTTAGATAATGTGTTGTGGGTTGTATTAATTTCTGATTTTAATGTGGACTTATATTAGCTAACAGATTAACAATGAATTACAGGCAACAGAGATTAATTCTTCAACATTGTTAATGAACACTTGCCAGTCTTATAAGTATGACATGCTAATGTTGATTGATTCAATTGAATTGAATTGAATTTGCCTTATTTTACGTGGCGAGACGGTAACGATTGATATTTAACAATCTAACCCAGAATTGTTTCATCTATAGAGTGACCGGCCTAATGCAAGAAGACCAGAGGCAAATACACTCTGGATCCCCTTTAAACTTTCTTAGTTACATAAGACATTTATTTGTTAATAAAAAACATTTATCTTAAAAAAGATCCAGCAAGAAGAATGAAACTATAACTTTAATGATACAATTATGAATAAACTGTGATACAAGGTTGACAGATGGCTTGAAGAGCCTCTTCCCCAAGAGGGGAACTATAACTATTCCCCAAATTGTCTACTTAAAAAAGAGGGAAATCAGATTTAATATATCTAAAAAATAAATAGGGAAATTAAATTATTTATTATGTAAATCTGTAGGACCAATTTTCAGGAGGGCAACGGCCACCTGCCCTGCTCCCCCCTCTCCTATACATGACTATGATCTTATCTGTTTGACATGATTTTGAATACTTCTAAAAGTTGTATTTGTCAAATGTCTTTGTTCCTTAACTGACCCAAGAAAGTTGAAATTGATAATACATAACAATATAAATGTACAACATAATATCTCTAATTTATAATGCACAAATTCAGCATTTAATATCATAATAATTTTATTTTCAGAACCATTCATATTTCTTTAGTTAATATTGCAGCATTTTATAAATAACTATAGAAATAAATAGCCAACAACAATAATAACATACACTTTATTTTGTTAAAGAAAAATAACAATATAATAGTCATAGCATAATATAATCAAAGTTTACTTCGATACATTTCTTCCCAAAATCCCTCTCGTTTCACATCTATTAATTTTTCCATAGTAATTTCCTTGTCAATATTTAAGTAAAACACATTTTCATTAGTACATGGTTTCCAAATCACAGGTGTGTGTTCACTGAGGTATGGGGTTGGGTTCCTGAAAAACACAGCTTTTAGCAACTATGTTCCATATCATTTTGCTAAAATCAAATTTGAATATAACAAATTTAACAAGTAAAAACATGAGCATCTCTGACACATTCAATTTTGGGTAGATCTCAAAAGAAGAGATTTAAATGACAGTATAGAATTTTATTTACTGTCACAATTCTTTAACAATGATGTATTAAAGTTAAAAAGGTGCACAGTAAATCAAAAATTATCAAGTTTTGTTCTAGTTATTTATGAATTAGTCTGTCCTACCAATAAACTTGGAAAATTATTCAACACAAAAATTGAAGTAGTAACACACATATTGAAATAAGCAATAGAACTAAATAAATTATCTTTACCTATATTACGCACTACATATGCTGTAATATTGATTAGATCAAAGGTTGTTCTACGACGGCCACTGACTGCAATAATCTAGCTGCTAACTTTTAACTATATTGAGATGGTCTAGCTTATCTTGATGCATGTTCCATATGATAATATTATCAAATTGTTTCTGTGTTGTGCTGATTCTTAAGTTCATTTTCAGTCTTTGAAGAGAGTAAAAACTTTGATCAGCTTTGTACAACGAAGCAAGAATCACAATCAAAAGGCGCATTAAGTTTACAGCATTCTTGAAAATAGCTCAAACATCTGGTAACCTTTTTTGTAATATAGTAAATGCATTGATTTATCCATACTTGTTAACAACACAATCTACTCCCAAAATTGTATACTTTTTGATACTCTTCATTCTTGTCATTAAAATGGAACCCAAATTATACTTTTTCTATTTTTTCTGGAATTATTTTATTCAAACTTTCATTGTTGCAAAGGTTCTGAATATTTTTGAAAGCAATTTCAACAGCCTTAATCAAGCCTGTTCATTGCTGATCATGAAATGATTTAT